CTGAATGCAACCACCTCTCCACAACATGCTTGCTGGAGCACAAATACCATCCTGCTGGGTTGGGGTGTTTGGAGGGGCCTGGTGAGCTCCATCCCAGCAGGATGCAGCAGAAGAGACTTCTTCGAGGCATCAAGATCAGGCAGAAGAAAACACTTTAGGATGGGAAACACTGGATCATGTCAGCTGGTGCAGAGCTGGACAGCCCCATTTTGCTCCCAATACAGCTCCCAGATCATCAGTGATGCAGAACGGTTGAGCCCTGAACCCCCTTTCTGCCTGACAGTGTCATCAGTAGAGTCCACTACAATCAACCCCAACCATTCCTTCCCAGCTGGGCCAGACACTGGGAGGCCACTGAACGCGATCCTGGGCAGGTATTTGAAGGGCAGAGGAGCTGGGACATGGCAGGGGACAGGCTGTGCACACACAAGAAAGATGCAGGATGAATCATTGATGCTGCGAGCTCGCTGACTGCTCTCCTGTGCAGCTCCTCCACTCAGCCCACGCTCCCTGTCTCCATCCAAACTCCATCCATCGTCCCAGCAGAAGATGAGGACAGGGCTTGCTCCTGTTTATGCATCCTCTTGTTTGTACTCCCCCCCTGTTTGTACACCCCCCTGTTTGTACATCCTCCCCAGGGGATTTCACTGGTCGGGCTTTGTGCTGGTCTGTGGTTGGGCCCATCCATCTTTGAGGGTCATCTTGGAAGAGCATCCCTCAACCAGGGCTGTGCGGCACCCTGGGCAGTGCAGGAAGGAGCAGCTCAGGTTGCAGAGGAAATCTTGGCCATGGTCTTTGTGCCAAAAGGAAAGGGTTTTTCTCCCTCTCACAGGTAAGTCCTGAATTGGGGGTGAGGAGGAGAAGGGAATTTGTGTGTCAAGGTCTCCACATCAGTGTGATCCCCTGCAGAAGGCTCCCTGAGCCCCGTGGCTGGGCTGTCACTGCCTGTTTGCCTTCTCTCACACATTAAAGGCCATTCTAAACCAATTTCTCCAGCACAAATAAATACAAACCCAAACTGCTGCTTCTCCTGGTTCCTTCTCTTTTCCCTTTTCATCCCTGTGACATCTTCCTCCAGTAAATCCTTCCCTTACGTCTCATTAGAGGCTGTTGCTGGACAATTTGCAGCTGTGACAACCCCAGAGATGCCTGGGGCCTGGCTGCCTGGCTGACAGCTCACATACGCACCCAGCTTTCTGCTGTGCCTGCACCACAGAACGGCTTCACAGCTGCCCCATGCAGTGAAGTCTCCAACCTTCCTTCCCATGGTGTTCCTGGGATGCAGGACAAAACACTTCACCTCCCGCTCTGCTTTCCTCTCCCTAACACACTCCTCAGTGCCCACCGTGCTTTTGTCCCTTTGCAAACCCACAGCATGAGGGGTTTGCAGGAACATCCGTAAAACCATTCCAGTTCCCACTCCCCGGGTAACCCCGCGCCTGCCCCGGGATGCTGCTGGAGCTGGCACCGCTCGGATGCTGCCGGATGCCTCCGGGCACAGGATTTCAAGGGCACGTCACGCTCCAGCCGGGCGGCTGCCAACAGCCCTCCCCAGCGTGCCTGCTCTTGACTCCTTCCAGCTATTGGATTGTGGAGCTAATAGCTCCGAGGGATTCCCAGTGTAATGAGAATTGGCAAAAGCGAGCACATATTAGGCCTATTCACCACCAGTTTTAAATCATTTAGCAGAGCAGAAAGGCCGTGTTTCTACGAGCAATGTGCTTTGCTCGCATCCGTAGTTCCTATTAAAAGGGTTTAGTGATGAATGGGAACGGTGGCGTCCATGGCGGGGAGGGGAGTGGGGTCACTCTGCTCAGCACCTGTGGTAATGGGGCAGCAATGAGTGAGGCCAGAAACTGGGGACAAGGGTTTGAGCTGAAGCTCATCCCCATCCACAGGAGCTCCCACCAGCTGCAGGCTGGGACTCATGAAGGATTTATGTCCCGTTGAAGGCAGCCTGTGGCTTTGGTTTAAAAATAAAGCCTTCAAAAGACAGTTTGGGGAGCTGGACCAGGGATGCTCTTTGCGCAGCGGAACACGGTTCCTTAGGGACTGCTGAGAAAAGTCACAGGAGAAGTTCAACTTTCACCCCAGCAATTATAGCAGATCTCTTCGGGCAAGGCACAGACCTAAAATTAGCCCTCAAATCCTTTTGAAGGTCGGGATTTTTCACTTGAGTTTTCAAGTGACTGACCAGCAGCGCTGCAAGCTGCGCACTTCCACACTTGGAGCTCGCTTTGGTTTTTAATAGCAGCCCTGCAAGGTTACCCGGTGTTTCATCAGAAGCAAGGCCAGGCTTTCCAACTTTGTTTTACACATCCTGAAGCAAGCATCAACCCACAGAGGAAAAGCAGAAGAGAGCCTGTTATGTACCAAAGCCTTTGCAATCGCGAAGCATTTATCCTGGGTGATGGGAGGGAGAAATCCCACCATCCCAGCCCTTCTCTGGGCTCCCGGCATGTTTTCCTCACCAAATCTGGGAATTTACTAGAAGTGGCACCCCCGGCCCCTGGTGTGACCCAGCCAGATCCTCTGCCCACGGATGATGCTGGCATGAACCCCAGGGTTCTCCTTGGCATCGCTGCCCTGCCCTATGGAGGATGTTCCGCATGGTCCCATGGCGCAGGCAGGGCATCATCTGTGTCTGCCAGAGCCACGCTGTGCAGCTTCCAGCCCTGCTGGCAATCGATAGCGAGTGCAATGAAACCCTTAATGAAATTCCAGCCTAAGAGACTATTGATTGTGTGTTTTCTTTAAAAATGTATATGAATGGGAGAGAGGCTTTTTGGAGGAGAGGCTGGGGAAGCAGGGGGGTGAGAGGAAACACCATCAGCCACTGCAGGAGATGGGTGGATGCGGTCTGTCCAGGGTAACTTGCACCGAGCAGTTGGCTCCAGCCTCTTGGTGAGCATGAATTCATCCTCACAGCACCCTCGGGAAGGGCAACCATGACCAGGCAGAAGCAGGAGGGTGGGCATTCACCCCAAATGATCACAAAACCATGATGATGAAACCAAGGAGAGAAGTCAAGAGCCCATGCCCCTGGTCATGCCTGCCAGACAGCGCTTTTGCAAATCCCCCTTGCTCTCTGTTTCACTCTGCTGCTTAAAACACCAAATAAAGACGTTTAGAGAGACAGTGATGCTCTGCTTTGGAGGAAGACACAGAAAATGGTGCCTCACCGTGCAATAGCCCTACAGCCACCCTCCCTCCTTCCTGCACCCCCTGAGTGCCCTCAGACATCCAAAATCTCCCCACATTTCACCTCGCAGGGTAAGAGCATGGCAAGGGAGCATAAGAAACAAATACTAACAGGAATAAAAACCCACCCCCCTCCCCACCCCTTACATAACCAGCATTGTCTTAATCCTACAGGTGCTCCAAGAAGTGAAAGGGATTTGTTCCTCCTGCAAATCCTTTTTCTTTTCCCTGGTTGTTTTTTTTTTGGTGAGTCATCCTCATCCACCCATGGACACGATGGGGGGGCTGCGCAGGAGGCAGCCCCTGAGGATGTGACCTCGACTAAATCACTGCAAGCTCTCAGGGCCTTGGCTCCCCATGGTCTGTCCTGACCCCCTCGGCAGAGGAAGGGGCTTAGGGATGGGCCCTAGAAATACATCAGTGAAGGCCAGCGCTGGGGCTGGTCCCCCAACCAACACCCCCTTGAGAGCCCTGGGGATGTGGGGTGCTGGGGATCACCCCAAACTCCTTCACAGCACAAAAATGAGCTTTAGGGATGGGGATGCAGCGAGAAAAAGGCAGCTCCCCGTTCTTAGGCATCCCCCTCCCAGGACTGGGGGGGGGGCGCTTGGGGTGCCCTATGAGGGTTTGAGATGCTCTTTAAGGGATTCGAGATGTCCCCCGAGCATCTGGAGTGCCCTGCAGGGATTTGGGGCGCCCTGGCAGACGCATCACCCCAGCACATGCGCAGGGATGGAGGAACGGCCCCATTCATGGGGTGCCTCCCCCCCGGGGTACCCGGGCGCATCGCATCGCGGCCCTTTCGCCGGGCCCGGTGGCGGGGGGCAACGGGACCCCGCGGGGCCGGGCGGGGCCCTTTAAAGCGGCGGGCGGTGGGAGGGGCGGGAGGCGGTGTTGCCGGGCGGTGCGGGGGGCGGCGGGGCAGAGCCGAGCCGGGAGCAGCGAGCGGAGAGCGCCGGGCCGGGTGAGCGCATCCCAGCGGGACCGGATGGCGGCGGGGGCCGGGGGTGGGGGGGAGGCTCCCTGAGTTCCCGGTTGTTCCCTCCCATCTCCGCCGCTGCCGGCCCCGGGGGGGGGGTCCCCGCTTGCAGGGGGAGAACGCGGAGCGCCCACACATCCCCCCCCCCTTCCGCCTCCCGTCTCTGCAGCGCGGCGGGGCTGCCCCGAGCCCCCCCCCCCCATCTCCTCCTTTATCTCCCCGCCGTGTCGCGGCCCCGGCTGGTTCCTGCCCCGCTCCCGGTGCGCATCGGCGCTGCTCCAGCCGGCCGAGACCCGGGGAGGGGGGGGGGGGGTCTGCGCTGCGGCGGAGGCAGATGCGGTGTGGGGTGGGGGGGGGGAGCGGAACTCGGCGGGTCCCGGCGCGGTGCGGGGCCGGGGGGGATGCTCTGGATGGGGGTGAATGGGGTTAATCCTTGTTGTTTGCTCGGGCTGCGCATGGGGGTTGTGGGCCGGGCTGGGGGGGGCTGCGAGGGCTGCACGCACACCCCACACCCCCGTCCTGTCCCCCCCCCCCCCTCCTCCAGTCTGGTCCTGGCAAGGGCAGAGCCCCTGTTTCCATGGGGCTGCGGGGACACCCGTGGGGGGAACTGCGGGTCCTGAGCTTCCCGTAACCCTGGGAGGCTGCGTGCATCATGTGAAGGCCTTGGGAAAGCAGAAGGACTTTCTCCATGGTCCTTCTGCTTATTTCTAGTTTCTGCTGAAGTGGATGCTGAGGCTGACATGCCACAGAACTGGGACTTAGGGGTGAGGTGTCCCTGGGGATGATCATGCATGCTTTGCCTTACAGCCGCCCCCCCCTTCCCCCCCGAGTTGCTGTGGTCCCTCGTTCCGGTGTAGAAGTTCATCAGTTGAAGTTATGCGCTTGACCTGGAAGGACTGCGCTGCCGGCACCTTGAGGACCCTGTGAACTGGAAAGGGAGAGGAGGTAAAACTGCTCTGTCGTCCTAAAACCCCTGGGAGGCCCTGCCACTGCTCCTGTGAGGGGATGAGGAGCAGCGGGGGGAACTGGGGGTGGTTAGCCTGGAGAGAAGGAGGTTCAGGGGGACCTTATCACGCTCCAAAACTGCCTGAAAGGAGGTTGTAGTGAGGTGGGATCTGTCTTCTCTCCCGTGCTATAGGTAATAAGACAAGAAATGGCCTCAAGTTGCACCAGGGGAGGTTTGGACTCGGTATTAGGAAGAATATCCTCCCCAAAAGGGTTGTTGGGCACTGGCACAGGCTGCCCAGGGCAGTGATGGAGTCACCTCCCTGGAGGTATTTAACAGACGTGTAGATGTGGCACTGAGGGACATGGGTTAATGCTGGAGTTGACAGTGCTGGGGTGACGATTGGGCTCAATGATCTGGGAGGTCTTTTCCAATCTTAACAATTCTCTGATTATTCAAACCTTCCCTGCATGGGGATTTTTGGTTTGGTGTGTTGGGAGAGGCATGGAGAAGGACCATGGTTGCAATGCTGGGCATCTGGGGCAGTGCCTCTTATTGCGAATAGTGACCCTAAACTGCCCAGGCTCTTCTGAAACGCTTTGTTTTCCTACCCTGGGGCCTTTGGCCATTATGCTTGCAGTTACAGGTGGTTGTAGCTGCCAGGAGATGTGCTTGGATGGGATCGTGAGTGTGAAATCCCCTCTTGAGTTCCTCTGTTGCTTCACAGTGCCTCTCCGTTGCTGTAACGCTGCAGTGCAGCCCAGGGTGGCTGTTGAATAACTGTCTCCTAAAAAAGTTGCATAATTCTTGCAGAGATGCTTCATCCTGTTGATGTGCTTTTGGGAAGGGTGGGAGTTTGCCTCCCGGTGTTTGGTGTCACCCAATGCAAGGGGACCGTTCTTGTGCCATCGAGTGGGACAAGTCAGTCCTGGGGGCTGCAGGATGGAGCCTCCTCTGTCTTGCTCTGGATGAGGCTTTTGGGTTAAACTCGCTGCCTTCTTTGAGTATAAGCTCGTTGGTTGTCCCAGGGGTGCTGTGGTTGCTTGACTGCTTCTCTTGACCATCAGGTCTGACCCCTCTTCTGGACAGGTTCAAGCACATTTCATGCACCCTCATGGCAGGGTTGTCTTGTCCAGCCTCCTCTTGTCCTTCCTCCTTGGAGCTAAATCACCCGTCTCCTCCAGATGAGGATGTTGCTGGGTAGTGCCCTTCCTCTTCCTCCTCCTCTTCTTCCTGGGGCAGGCAGAGAAACCTGATGGTGGTTGCACATCTGGACCTGCTGAATCAAGCTGGCGGGGATGCCCTGGGGCAGCACTGCCTTCCCTGCTCTTCTCCAGCCCAAAGGCCAGCAGAGCTGCTCCTGGCAGCTCTCCCCTCCTGGTGCCCCCATGTGTTGGTGCCCTCGCTTGCCCTTGGCAGCTTTCCCTGCCCATGGATGCCGGTGAGGTGGTGGGATAAGGGTTGGAGGCTTGTGCCTGGCTCAGTGCTCCGCTTCCTTGTGTGAGCAGAGGGAAACTGGGAACCCTGCCACTGCAGGGAGCGCCCGGTGTGCCCTCTGACTCCCAGGAATTACAGGTTTGAATCCCAGCTGGCTCCATCACAGCAGAGAGGAGGACAGGTTAACCCTAAAGGGAAGACTGCATCCCAGACCTGACTCTGGGGAAAGGGAAAACCTAAATGGCTTGGAGAATCTGCTTGCTGGGTGCAGGGTCAGGCTTGGGGCAAGGCTTGACTGGAGCCCTGCATCCATCCACAGATGCTTGCTGTGCTTCAGAAGGCAGGAGCAGGTCCATTCCCTGCTGCGTCAAGTCTTGGCAGCATTTGGCACACAAGACCCTGGGGCAGGAGAGGGGCTGTGGTGGCATTTCAGCAGGGCAGGGTCCTGTGGGAGCTTCAAGAAAGAGGCAGAGAAGTCAGATACAGCCTCTAAATCCCTCCCATGAGGTCACGGCCACCACGCTGGGTACGAAGCACTGCTTGCTTGGGAGCAAAGGGAGCAGGGATGCTTGAAGCTGACTCTCCAGCCAGGGAAGGCAGCCGTAACAGGGTGTTTTGGCATCATCTGGTTGGGATGAGGGGTTCCAAAGCCCACTGGAATTTGTATGAGGTGTTTTGCTTAATACACCACTTAAGCAATTAGCAACGACTGTAGCAGTCCTGGGTAAGAACTGAATTTCCCCAGCTCAGATATCATTAGGCAGCAGTTTAACTCCGTTTGCAGGCGGGTATGAGGCAGGGATGTGTATGGGGAATTCCATCTGCAAATACAAAAACACAATAAGAAAATTCCATACGGACATATGTAACTTCATCCCATGTTTAGGATAATAAGAGAAAACCAGTCTTGGGGGGTTCTCTGCCACAAAGAAGGGGAGATCCTCGGCAGTGAGCCAGGATGGAGGCACACAGTGATGGCAATGCCATATGGGCATCCTGCACTGACCTATGCAGCTCACTCCCCATGAACACCCCTCCATGACATAGCAAATCTCCAGGGCAAGGGTAGTCTCTTTAAAAGAGCTTGCACTTGTTTTGGGAGCTGCAGTTGGGATTATACTGAGGGGCTTTTCCTTGAGTTTCAAATACATCCAGGGTGGTGAGTGAGCAGCTAAACCTCCCATTATACAGCACATCTAGCTCTGGGAAGGGATCACCCTGAAGTACCAGGGGTGGTGAGCGAGCAGCTAAAATGTCCTGTTATTTGGCACATTTGAGCCCAGGAAGGGTCCATCCCAAGGTACCAGGTCAGTGGTTAATACATAACGTGTGTGCATGACACCGTGCACCCCGCTGCGGTGCGGTCCAGCCTGGAGGTGGATGCGCATCTAGTTTTACACGGATGGGAAGCCGAGAGGAGGGTTTTGTTGTGGGCTGAGGGGCGGAAGGAAACATAGGCTTAGCGAGGGAAATGTGAGATTGCTTGGTTGGGGACAGGGCTTCGGCCGCTCCTCCTGGGAGGCTCTGCTATTGTGGTGGTTAAAAATAGACTTTGGACTGGTTAGACTGTTCTGTGGGAAGCTCCCCAGCTGGACATGGGCAGGTGAGGGAAAGGACGAGAGCCTCTGGCTTCCTTCATCAACAGCTTTATTTCATTTTAAGTTAGTTTTATATTCTCAACAAATACCCAGCTTTTCTTTTGGGGTTAAGAGAGTGTCTTTGCTTTGTTTCCAGCTACAACACACTGCCTCTAAGCCCCGGGCTACGTTCATGATGCCCCGCTGTAGCGATGCTTCGCACTGCATCCTGAGGTGGGAGGTTGGTACCGTTTGGGTACCACACCGGTGTACCCGGATCAGCGGCAGTGCTAAGTGGCCTGGGCGATGCTGCAGCCCTGCCCATGGGCTGGCAGCGTGGCTCCCTGCAAGCTGGATGGAATTACTCAGGGAAGAGATTATCTAAGATCCAGTGGATCTTGTCTATGAAGTTGTCTTTGTTTTCCAGCAGCTGTCAGCATGGGAGGTAGAATGTACACTGGGGGTGGGTTTTGGAGGGGAGGGAGGGAAAAAACACTGTGATCTAAAGTTGGTCAGAACAGTGGGAAACGGAGAAAACCTCAGGTTTTGCTGGGGGACTGTCCTGGGCCTGGCAGGCTGGGTGCCTATGGGACAGAACTGTGTCTGTGTCCCCTCTGCAGCACCCAGGGGTCCCAGCTAGGAGCAGTGCCATGGGCTGGGGCCTTGCTCAGTAAGTCAGTGGCAGGATCTGGAGCTGAGCTGAGGACACAGCCCCCAAAGCCTGCTTTGCTTACAGGAGCACTGGTTCCTGCAGGGCTGGCATCAGGATGCAGAGCTGTGGGGAGACCATTGTCTGTGCAAGATGGGGGAAAAAAAATGTCATTTCTTGCCCATTTTCTCTTTGGAAGTCATCTCTTTTCAGTGCCTCTGCCCCAAAACACTGGCCTGGAAAATGGCCATACAATGCTGCTGGGTGCTTTGGGGGCATCTGTTTTGAGAGCTGGTCTGGCTAATGCTGTGGCTGGGGGAATCCTCATTGACCTGAGAAGCCTTTTCACTCCAGACAAATGTCTTCTGGGCTGCAGGTGCCAGGAGGACTCTGCAGTGCATCTGGGCAGGGAGTAAAAGCAGGTATTTAATAGGGGATTGGTTCAGGGAAAGTGGTTTGACCATGGAATTTGAGCCCAAAATGCTGTTCAATGAATATTTTAGTGGGATGGACAGTAAATGAGAGGAACAAAGATTGTTTCCATTTCTATCCGGTTCAGACAGCTGGTCTGATTTAAGCTCTATAGGGTATAAATAGAGCAACAAGGAGTGCAGAGAGCAACCAACTTCTCCCACCCTGGGGCTGTGGTGGGGATGGTAAGTGTGCCTGGAGGGATGTGCAACACGCGTAGAGACAGATAACTTTTGCATTCTTGCCTTATGGCTTTCGCTTCCTTAGCTCAGCCTCTGTGTGTGGTTAAAGCTCTGATGGGCCTTGAGGGCTGAGACCCTTCCCAGCCTCTCATGGTGGCAAAGGAAGCCTCTGGGAGGAGGTTGCTTGGTCTTTGCGTGCCTCAGGTGTCTGCTGTGGAAAGGGCGGGGGGGGTAAATCAGCTCCATGGCCAATGCATCCTCCATCCCTTTGGGCTTGCACTATAGCAGCAGAGACGATGCTCTCGCCTTCCTTCTGCCATCAGCTCCAAGCCCCACATGCTGCTCGCTCTGCTCCACCATCCCCAAGGGCAGTCCCCATCCTGGCTTTAGCTGTTTCCCAGCGCAGGCAGGAGCCAGGCTCCCTTGTGAGCTGCCAGCAGGGACCTGCCTGCCAGAAGCATCACCTCACAGCCCAGCTTTGCTCCGGGACCGGCTCGTGACTCGGGGATCTCCCCTGGCCCAGCACACTTGGGTCAGGCGCTTTGCTGGGGGGAGCAGGTGCCTGGGTTTCCTCACTCCGTTCCCATGGGATCGCCAGCCGGGGCTTTGAGTGGCATCGATCTTGCTGGAAGCCGAGCAGCTTGTTGGACTGGAGCAGCTGGATTGGAGCTGGAACCTCCTTCCCCCTGAGCCAGGCTCTTCCCTCCTCTCCTGCCTTGGCCCTGGGAGCTCTCCCGCTCACGTACGGATGGAGGGATGCAGGGATGGAGGGATGCGGGCTAGACTCTCATAACCTCCATCCAATTGTATTTTCCCCCTTGAATTTCAGACCGCTGTGGCGCAGCCTGCCTGCACCAGGCAGAAGGGGAACATCTCTTTATTAGGGTTGTTTCCTTAAATAAAGCCCTGGGAGCAAGTGCTGGGCTGGCTGTTCTGGCTATCCCATGACTAGCATTGCGCATTCGGGTTATTAACACCTCGTTCCTCCCCACATCTCTGGTTCAGCAAATCCCGGGGCCTTTGTCATCGCTCCCTGATTCCTGCTTCATCAGAGGCTCTCATTTCAGCCTGGGTTTCCCCATGGCCAATCCCCAGAAATCCTTTCTTTTCCTTCCTATTTAAACCTTTCCCAAATGACAGCAGCTGCAGAGCTCTGCCCTTTGAGGTGTTTGGGGACTCGTGTAGGTGGGTCAGGAGCCCATCACCAGCCTTAAGTCTCGGTTGCCAGTCTGTGGCTTCCCTCTGACAACAAACCTCCTCATTTTATATATCCCTGTGCCTGTCCTTGCATGTAACCCAGACCAGGGACTCAAGGCTGTGTCCCCTGTGCCAGTTCCAGAGCCAGCAGATAGCACCTCCAAAGGGATCTGGCTCCTCTGGGAGCACACTGCAACCCTCAATAAGCTGGGTTGGGAGCGTATGGCCCTTCCTTTATGAAAAGCAATCCTAGATCTGCTGCTTATTTCCATCCTGAGCCTGTTTTCATCTCGCTTCCACCGCTCTGCCCGGGATGCTGTCTGGGGCATGATAAGTTATTTCAAGAAGTGGGGCAGTGCTGTCAGTATGAAGGGGAGTGCAGGCACCGAGATTAAAGGTAAATCTATACAGATAATTGGGAGCCTGCTTCTGCATGAATCAGGTGAACGTGTACATGCAGGTGGTGATGGCTCTGTGGTCCCGGGGGGGCTGCCTCCAGGCATCCCCCATACTCCTGGCCTCTGCTGTTGGGTCCCTGCGCAGGGGGCTCGTGGACCTGCTGTGGGCAGGGTGATGGAGGCACAGCACAGGGCTGGTAATCCCCACCGCCGCCTCCTCAGACCTGCCAGATGTCTTTCCTCTAGGCTTCAGTTTTATAAATTGGCCTTTTAAAGTCTGTCATCCCCATGCAGATGAAAGGAAGATGCTGTGACATCTCTGTGTGCGTGTGTCTGAGCCTGGCTGCAGTGCCTGGATGGTGAGGGCTTTTTGTTTGGGTTTTATCTGGTTTTGAAGTGCCTTTTTTATCATCTTCTTTTTTGCCCTTAATCTCCCAGTCTGTTGCATCTTGCCTTCCCTGGTTTCGGGCAGGCAAGGCCTGCTCCATAGCACAGGTCCTCTCTGGAGACATGGATGGGGGGAAGTGTTCTCCCCTCATCTGCAGGGGTGACACCAGCAAAGCCCTGGGGCTTAACACCCCAGGCAGAGCTGAACTGCTCCCTTCTGGCAGATGCAATTAAACCCATCGCCATAGGGCTTCCTCTTTCCTCACCAAGTCCCTTGCTGCTCTTTTCCCTTTGCACCCTTTCCCCGTCCCTTGCTCTTGCTCTGCCTGCTTGGATCACCAGCAGGACATTCCTTTTCACCTCCCTTTTCTCCTGGCCCATGGCTCGGTGCTGGGGCAGCTCCTGGGCTGGTGGCAAGGAGCTGGGGCTGTGGATTTTAAAGGTGAAGGGCAGTAGCCACTGCCTCCAAAAGCTGTGTCTTTAAATTCTCTCCTTGGTAATGGATGGATGAGGAGGAATTGCATTTGCTCGATGGGGAACAAATAGCTTTGCATTTTTCTGTTGCTTTCCTCCTGCCTCCTGGGGAAATTGAGACACTGCTCCTAAACTGCAGGGATGTTTGGTTTTTATCCCAGCTGGCACGGATCCCTGCGAGCAGGGCTGCTCAGGTCTCAGGGAAAGCCCTGCAATGCTGGGGACAGCCTTGCCAGGGATTTCCGCCGGGGACTGGTGACCGCACTGTGGGATACAAGGGGGCAGTGATCACCCTGTGTGTGCCCTGTCCTCGCTGCCTCCCTGGCACAGCCAGGGTGCTGAGCAGCATCCCTGTCTCAAAGGCGGGAAGATGCCGTGCATGGGGAGCAGAGATGCTGCTGAGGGGAAAGCTGTGTGGTCCTTACAAGACAGCAGAGGAGCCGAGCTCCCCGGCTCTGCCTCTCGAGCAGCTCAGGGTTTCTCTTTCAAGCGAGTGCTTTTGTTCTCTGTGTTTCTCCATTTGAGGGGGCTTGAGAGCCACTTCCAGGGTGGAGGTGCTCCCGGAGAGCTCAGGTGTTCCGTGCTGGCGGGTCAGGAAGCGTCTTGTCTCCATAGGGATGTGCTGGGGAAATAACAACGGGCTCCTGGCTCTGCATCGCAGTCTTCAGGGCTCAGTCCCAGCCGGGGCCTGGATCACAAGGAGCGGGTTAGCTCTGTCCCCAGTGCCCACCCTGATCCCATGGCTCGTGCAGTTCATCCGAGCAGTGATTAATTCTTGGCCATGTAAGCTGCTGCCGGGTTACTGCACGTGATTTACTGGCAGGGTAATCCCTCGCCAGCAAAAGAGCTGCTCTGGGAATGGAGAACAGCAAAATCCCTTCAGCTTCTGTTGGGTTGTGGTGGCTTTCTTTTCTCCTGTACCCTACCTACTCACTGGCCTTGGCCAAGGACCTGTCCCCGGGTTATCCATAACACCATGGTGCTCAGCAGGGAGGGTGAGGAGCAGGGGCTGAGCTCTGCGGCTCAGCTTGGTCTGATGGAGATGTGACCAGACAGGGAGGACTTGGCCGTGGCAGGGGGACACAAGAGCAGTGCCTGCCCCAGCTGAGATGAAGAGGCTCCGGGCTATAAAGCCTGGGAATGAGCAGTTCTGGCAGAGCCACCCAAAGCAGCAAGATCCGTGTCTCCTCTAATGAGCCTCTTAAAGAAAGAGGCTCATTAAAACTGATGTGGCAAAGGATCAGAGCAGAAACGGGCACGGAGAAAGGGAAGGACTGCCTGCTGGGTGTGGAGGGGAGGGTGCAGCCCTGTGTGCTCGTGTGGGTGCTGCTGAGACACCCAGTGCTCCCTCATCCCACGCCCAGGCAAAACACACAGGCGAGATTAATCCTGCTGGTGAATCCCTCAGGGCTGCTCCGGTTGGGGACTCCTTAGTGGTTTTATGAGAAATCAATACTGCTTTTGCATGGTCATAATCGTAAAATAAGTACAATTTATGGCTGCTGCCAGGGCCAAGCGTTTTTCCTGGTGTGCGAGGTGGAGAGGGAATGACACAAAAACACTTTCCCACAGCGTTTCTCTTTGCACCAGGGCTGCCAACCTGCTCTTACAAAGGCCCTGGAGCACAAGTGTGATGGGGAACGGCTGAGGGACCGGGGGGGGGCTCAGTCTGGGGAAGAGAAGGCTCAGGGGTGACCTTATCGCTCTCTATAACAATCTGAAAGGAGGGTGTAGTGATCTGGGGTCAGTCTCTTTTCCCAAGTAACAAGCGACAGGATAGGAAGAAATTTCCTCAAGCTGCACCAGGGCAGGTTTAGGTGGAGCTGAGGAACAATTCCTGCCCCAGAGGGTGCTCAGGCATTGGAACAGGCTGCCCAGGGCAGGGCTGCAGTCACCATCCCTGCAAGTGTTCACACCCCGTGGAGATGAGGCCTCAGTGCCATGGGTCAGTGGTAGCCTTGGCAGTGCTGGGGAATGGTTGGATTTAAGATCCTCATTCCTTGATGATCTTAAAGCTGTTTTCCAACCCAACTGATTCTATGGTTCTACCCCCACGGGGGGGGACACCCCGTTTCGGGCGGGCTGCCCATGCCCATGCTGACGCTGTCCCTTGCCCCGCAGCCCGCTGGCAGGTGGAATGGGGCAGCCATGAACGGCGATGCCCTGTGCCAGGAGCCCTCCTCCCCGCTCCCCGACTGGAGGGAGTTCTGCGAGCTGCACGCGCAGGCGGCCGCCGTCGACTTCGCCCAGAAGTTCTGCCAGTTCCTGAAGGAGAACCCTCACTACGACACCCCCGGCGCAGAGGCTTCCTTCTCCCACCATTTCGCCGCCAACTTCTTGGACATCTTCAGCCTGGAGGTCAGCCGGGTGTTCGTGTCCGACTCGCCCACCAAATACCACATCGTGCCCTTCGTGGGGCTGCAGAACTGCCACGTCCCCTACGGGCGCGAGGTCGCGCCGAGGAAGGAGGAGACGTCCACGGAGTCACTGGACAGCATGGATGCCCCGCTGGGTGCTGGCCGGTACCTGAGCCCGGCACAGCAGGTACAGGCACGCAAGGTGTCCTCCTACGGCCAGTCCCGCAGCTCGGAGGATGTCTCCATCCACGCTGCCGCCAAGCCCAAGTTCAAGAAAGGCTTCTCCTTGAGGAACATGAGCTTGTGCGTGGTGGATGGCATGAAGGAGATGTGGCACCGCAAGTCCTCTCCGGAGCCGGGCGCCGAGGCTGCTCCCGGTGGCCGGAGAGCAGAGAGGGAGCCGTGGCCGGCCGGGGGCAAGGAGCCCGGTGACCCCCGGGAGAAATGGACCCACAAGCTGCGCCTGTCCAAGGTGCCCTCCTCCAAGGTGGAGCTGGTGGACATCCAGAGGGAGGGGACGCTGCGCTACATGGTGGCCGATGACACGAACTGTGTGGGGAGCTCGCAGTGGCAGAAGTGCCGCCTCCTGCTGCGGAAAGCGGTGAAGGTGGAAGGAGAGAGGTTCCTCCTCGAGTTTTATGTCCCTCCAAAGGTGAGTCCTGGCTTTTCTCCGCTCTTCTTCTGAGCCATTCAAGCAGCACTTGGGCTTTGCTGGAGGTGTCTACTGCTGAGCTGGGATGACTGGGTACCGTGAGGTTGAGATGTGAATGGATGGGACAGCATGGTTGAAACCCATCCAACCTGCAAGCCCCAATTGCTGCTGTTCACCACTTGAGCCCCCTCCTTCCCCACAGCCCCTGGGAGAGATGCTGAAACCTCTGCCTGGTCCTTTGTTCCCCAAGTATCTTGGTGGAAAACCTCATTCCCCCATTGAGACATGGGGTGTCCAGGCCATCCAGAGAGTTCCTTCTCTTCCCAACTTGTTGCAGAGATATGTGATTGAGCAATGGCTCCTGCAACAGCAGCATGGCTGGGATCACTGCCTGGGCTTTATGCTTTAGATCTCGGAGGGTCACTAGCCCACTTTCTGAAAGCAGGTTTGGGTTTTGGTTTCCTTTCAAATATAATAATTCATTTGGAATAATTTTGCACCTGCAAGGTCTCCCCATGCTTCTGGTGATGGAGAAAGAGACACCAGTGATGCCCTCTGGGGCTGGAACATCACTACCATGGGTAGGGTTTGCAGCTCTCATCCCATACAGTCCCAGCTACATACCCTCCTGTGCAGAGAAACACTTATTATTACTATTATTATTACTACCCATAGTATCACTTTTTCTTGGCTGCATCTGTTGTTCTGTAACTTCAATGAAAGCTTCAAAAGCAGGAGCTGGCGCATCCTTGGCGCATCCTCCCTCTCCTTCTCACATGCATCCTTCCCTGCATGCAATGCAGGGAAACGTTGTCCCTGTTTTCCTGGGGGAAGGGCTGAGTGATGGAGCAGTGCGCTCAAGAGATGTGGGCTATGAGACCTTCAGTCTCCTCCTTTGCCTTCCCTCCTTCTCCCGGGCTGAGCGAAGGGATGTGTTGCACTGCCTGTGCTAACGCAGTGATTGCGCCTTGTCTGCGCTGTGTGTTCTCCTCTCTGAAGAGCACAGGGCAAATAATGAGCTGTTCCCTGGGGCTTTACTGGCTGTATGTGCTGGTAATGAAATCTCCAGCTATTTAAGTACCTAGGGAAGAAAAACCTCATTTACTTCATCTTCTCCAGGACTTTCCCCACTTGCCTTTCAGCCCCTGGTAGCAAAGCTGGGCCAACATGAGCCCTCATGCCAGGCATGCACCAGGGGCTGCTGCTCCATGGGTCTCTGTGCTCTAAACCCCAGTAACCCTCGGTTTGGTAGAGGAATGCAGCTATACATATGGATGGCATCAGCATTTTCTGTTTTCTGAGGCCAAGATGAACCTTGGCACTGGTGGTGTTAGTTGGTGCCTCTCACCTATTCATTACATCTTCCCTGATAAAATACAAACATGAGTTTAAACTGAAGTGCATCCCTCTAAAGAGCAGCTCAGCACTGGTATGGGTGATGTGCATCACTGGTAGCTGGCTCTGAGCTTAATCAGCCCAGGGACTGCACCAGATCCGCCTGGAAGGAAACCACTGTGTCCATGGCACGATGCATGGAGGATCTGGTGGACCAGTGTATCAGCTGGTCCAAAGGGATGATGCACTCAGGGTAAAATGGAACAGCTTCTGCCCTTAAAACATTTGAGAGAGTGCTGAGAGAGGGATTTATTTCTTAAGTGATTCTTGATTTGCCTCTAAAAATCCATTTTGAAATGATTTTATGGCAACTTTTATGAACGTTGTCTGCTCTTCTGTTACAGTCACACCCTGCCTTGCTTTACAGCTTTCCCCCCTCATCCCATCTTGCTTTCCATCTGGCAAACGATTCAGCTGTAAAAGTGGCACCAGTCTGGCACAGCTGGAGGAAAACAGCTTTTTTGCTTCAGCAGCCCCACAGCCTTGTTTTTGTTTAGGCCCTACAAAAACTATGCTCATCCCTTTTAAACCTTTAAAGGGAAGAGCCCTCCTGGAGAAGACCCTTTTCTGGCTCCCGGTGAATTAACACCGTTTTGTTCTCTTTCAAAGCAGCTGCCTCCTCCTTTCTGACCCTCTCCCATGCAAACACCAAGATGGAAAAATTCCCCAGGGCAGGATGAGCCTGGAGGCAGCACTGGGGCCCCGGGGCTGGTGGAAAGGAGACATCCCAGAGGGGAAAAAGCAGTTCCTGTTCTGTCTCTTAGATTTATTTATCTTCCCCCCCCCAAAATGGGAACTGAACACAGCGTTGGTAACCTGCACCCACCCCCTGCACTCAGTGCACCAAGTGCACGTTTCAGTGACTATATCACATCTCTGCTTCCCACAGCTGTGATGCTCCAAATCCCAGAGTCCTGAATCCTGGAGCCCCGGAGGGTCCTGGACCTGGGAAGCAGCTCCAAGAGCTCCTTTGGGGGGAATTGTTATAATTAAAGCAAATATCTGGGGAATTTGTGGCTCAACAGAGTGGGAGGCACCGGGTCCTGCCCCCGCATTGAGGCTGCAGCGGGTGCGGGGGGCCCTTGGGGAAATTCACTTGTCTTTCTTTAATGTAATTAATTACCTTTATTAAAATAATTAATGACACTCGCCTGTGTTGCTCAGGCTGCTGCATTGTGGCTTCTCTGTTGAAATGCCACTCCTGTGCTGGATAAACCGGGTGTCTTCCTGGGCTGCTTTCCACATAGGAAGCATCCCCCATCAGATAACACAGCTCTCTCACAGGATATCTCCATAGGGAGAGGGCTTAAAAAGGAGAGGAATAAATGGTCTTGGCAGAGCTGGCAGATCAGCCTGCGCTGGAGAAAGGGGAGGTTTGGCAGTTAAATGCACTAACCTCACTGTCTGCCACTGGGCCTCCTCTTGGCTTCATTCAAAGAGCTTGGAGTTCTCAGGCACGTTAGGGAAATCAATGCTTTCCCCCCTGCAGTGTAATAACTGTGCAGGCTGAGGCGTGAGCTTGCCTCCAAGAGCCACATCGTGTCGTCCCCCAGGACAGTTTGATTCAATTGAGTGACTTTTTCTTATTATTTATTGATTTCTTTTAATTATTTTCCCTTTGTTTTTATTTTTCCCAGGCTTCCAAGCCCAAGGTGAGCATCCCGCTGTCGGCCATCATCGAGGTCCGCACCACCATGCCGCTGGAGATGCCCGACAAAGACAACACCTTCGTCCTAAAGGTGAGAGCAGGGTGGCAGTGGTGTGTTATCCCGATAGGAACACCATCTGTGCCTGCATCCAGCCCCCACTGCAGGGATACTCCGTCCCCAAGGGAATCGTTGTCTTGGCTTTCAGAGCTGAGATGCTTACAGCACTAATGGTCCCCATGGGATTCCTGCCTTCCCTCTCTGTGTTGTGTCCCCCCCCAAATGATGCAGCCTCCACCTGATGCCTGGGTATTTTGGGATCAAGCTGTTTGCCTGGCTTTTACCATGGGGTTTTGCTTCTCCATGTCACCAGGAGATGGGTTAAATCAGTGTCCAGAGACAACCTGCAAAGGAAAAACACCCTTTGGTGTGGCTGCCTGTGGTTTTGTGACTGCTGCTGCCCCAGATTGAACATGGGATGCCCCACGCTGCACATGGTGGCTATTTCATTGACAAAGAGCAATGGGAATGGCTGTGCAGGGCCACCAAGGCCCTGGGGATCAACCACCCCACGTAGGTCTGGGGCATGGGCAGAATGTGGAAGTCCCTCTGCAGAAAGAGTTTTCCCTATCACACAATTACTGAGCTCAATGCTCCCTCCTGCTCTGCTGGAAGGCAGCAGCCCATCACAGCAAATTGGGGCTGCATTTCAGTGTCCTGGCTCGGGGCATGACATGCCACCATGATGATGGACATGTTGTTAGGAATGGCATTTCTCTCCAGCTAATGAGGCTGTGCCTCCCTGCTCATGCTAATGGACTTGTGCTCTCCATCAGAGCTGTCTGACGTGCACGGCTGGAAACTGGCACATGGATACTGGGGGAGCACCAGCAGTCTGAGGATTTCTGTCCTACCTCTGCTAAAGAAAACCCCTTTGCCCGATGCTTCTCCCTAAAATCACGTGCCCCCACCACACATTCCTTTGGCAAGTAGCTCTGTACCAAACCCAGCTCCTTGCAAAGGTCCCACACCTTCTCCTGGCAGCCTCCTCCAGGACATCCTCCCTGCCCAAGGCTTATTGCTGTTCATCCTCAACCTCTGCTGTGGTCAGTGTCCAGCATGGACATGGAGGCTAATCTAGCTGTTGTCTTCTGTGCCTCAAAGACCAACCTCATGTGTCTACTCCTCTCCAGACTGACCAGACCAGGGTGGTCCATGCTTTCCTTGTGGGCTCTGGAGAGAGAATTCCCCAAAGCATTTGTGGTGCCGTGGCCAGCAGCAGATGGGAAGGATTGCTTCCCCTTTGATTGCTTCCCCTTTCTTCTTCCTCTTTTCCCAGCCCAAGTTGATCCAGTTGCTTTCTTGCACCCTGATGATGCTGTTGATTCACACGCAGCTTGTGGGCTGGTATAACCCCTCAGTGCTTTCTGCAGAACTGCTCCAGAGTGGTGGTTCCCCAACCCAAGCGCCCGTAGTGATCAGTGTGAGCCCAGAGCTCGCCTGTGTCCTTGAGCTGGAGGCTGGTTTCAGCTCTTCCTTTCACTGAGCATTTCTCAGCTCTTCCACAAGTTCATTTGAATTCTCACTTCATCTTCCAACACACTCGCAGCGTGGTGTCATCCATGAATTGATTAGGCATCCTTGCTCTGCTTTTGTCCTAATCATTATGGAAGAGCAGCACGCATGAAGAGTCTTTGATGTGAAACGTGAAGGAGCTTCTGAGCGCATCCCTCAGCTTTGACCATTAGCCATCAGTAAGCCATTAACCATTGATAACTGCGTTTGGAATACATCAGCTACTCCCAATCATGCTTTCTCAAGCCTCATCCCAGCCGTGTGTTGCTCCCCTGCTTGCTGGTGTGTCACATCAGTGTGACACTGCTTCTCCCCACCCCTGGGTCCATCACAAGCATGAGCAGATGGGTTTGACAGGGTCCTGGCAGATCCCTGCTGGGGGGTATTCAGCTCTGGGGTGCTTCCCTGCTGCCTGTGGATGGTTCATTTCTTGTGCTGCTGGAGGCAGGCTCTGGGCTTGTCCTCTTCTCATCTTCTGGAGCCAGACTTGCTCTCTCCACTCCCCCTGCTTACAGCTCTGTGATGGCTTCAGCCATTTCTTTAATTACCCTTGGGAATGCTCCAAACCTCGATGGTCTGGAAGTGCCTGATTTACCAGGTACCCTCCTGCCCCATCCTGGCTAGGGCACTTGCCCTGCTGTGGGGTTAATTGATGCAATCGATCCTTTGAGCAGCCAGTGCAGCACTGAGCCTTTGCCCTCCCCTCCCAGCTGTCAGCACAGGATTGCTTCTCCCTATTCCTGACGTCCCTTGTTAGTTATAATTCCTTTTGTGCCCTGGCCCTTCTTGCTGGGACATCTTATTTTCACTCTTTTCCATCCCCCTTTGCTGTCTGGACTCGCAGAGGCAGTGAACCACCCCTCAGTTCCAGGGTACAGATTAGATGGGTAAGAAAGGGATCTGGATGCTGTGGTTTCCCCACTGCTTTTCCCTTATGGGACTGATCCAAAGCCCAATCTCAACCTTCACATGCAGGTTATGATGGGTAGAAAACCCCCTGCCTTGTTCAGGGAGGTTACACTGCCAAGTTGCCTAAAAATGAGCAGGCAGCCTGTCCCCAGCATGCACCAGACACCAAGCACAGGCAGTTTTTCCATTGCACAAGCAGGCACTTGCAAAACACCCAAGCCCTGCACGTGCTTCACTTGCTGTCATGCTCTGCATGAGAGAGCAGCCCTGTCTCCCACGTCAGCTCCATGCATTGCCCTCAGAAAGACAGAGAGGCTCCTTTGCTCTGATTAAACAAAATGGGGGGGGGGGCAATGGGGGGAATCTTTGCTGTTTCCTTCCTTCTGTCTGGGGCAGGATCCCCCGTGCACAGCCCCAGGCTGCAGCAGGGGAGCAGGTTGCTGCTCAGCCCTAACCCAGGCACTGGCACTGCTTATTTCCAGGACAGTGATTCAGTTGTTTGTGATTAATTTAATTTGCCAGGAGGCTGTCTCGGCTGGGAATGTGATACCCTCCTGGAATCAGGGCTGCCGCACCAACTCGGGAATGTGATGTAGAAGGGGTCCACAAGGGATGCAGGGAAACCTGCCAGCATCACGCAGCATCGCGTGGCACGGCTTCTGAGCCCCCTGCTTTGTGGCTGATGCAGGGCTTTTGGGTCCTCCCTGGCCCCAGAAAGGCCCGGCTCCTTTGGGCTTGCAATGTTAGGGGCTCTGGTGCATCCTGATGATGGGGTTTAGTATTGTTTTTCCTCAGTTGGAGTGGGTTTTGCTCCCACCCTGCTGCAGTCAGAAATTGGAAGCCTCATGAGCCAGCAGGAAGAGAATATAAGAGGAGAGATTTAAAACTCTTGGGTTTAGGGGTCTGGCAGGATTTGGGGCAGAGAGCAGCATGGCTTCTTCTCTTCCTGTGCAGGTGTAGCTCTTGGGGGGACACTGAGGCACCCCAGAAGCGAGGGATGCTGTCTGTGCTGGTGCCTGGTGCTGTGTGCCCTCGGTGCCATCAGCCAGGGGTGGTTTTGCCATGGAGCCATAAAAACCCTGTGGTACATTTGCTGGTACTGGCAGGTTGGGGATTTTTCTTCAAGCCCCAGCTTTGATCAGGGGTCACCCTTGGACACCCCAAAGCACTTCTATGGTCACCCCTCAGCATCACTTTACTGGGATGAGACAGAGCACTTATCCTCTCCAAGCAACAGGTGAATGTGGGGCTCCGGTTGGGTTATGGGGTGGGTGGCAGGACCCCAGCCTGACACTGTCTTGCATTGCCTGCAGGTGGAGAACGGGGCTGAGTACATCCTGGAGACCATCGACTCGCTGCAGAAGCACTCCTGGGTGGCAGATATCCAGGACTGCATTGACCCTGGGTAAGCCTTGTGAGAGGATGGATGGTGCTGGGCAGGGACGGTGCCCGTGCCACCGAGCATGGGTTATTGCCACTGATGCAATTCTTGGTGCTTGGGTCATTGCAGAAAGTCCCTGACACACACCATAGCCGGGAGGCAAAGTCAGCAGCCTGTGGATGTCAGAGGTGCAGCCTCGCAGAGCACTCCCTGCTTGCTCACCCTTTCCTGCTCCACATTGCCTCTGCACAGCAGAGGCAACTGGGAATAGAGCCCTCAATGTGGGAAGCTCCTAACACCCACCTTCTGAAGCTTTTATACTGTAGCTGAGCTATTTTCCACGTGTGTTTTCCAGTTATCCATAGTATATTTAAGATTCTGCTGGCTTAAACGGGTTATTTGTGTTTTGATCATGGTGCCATTGGCACTGCTATTGGAGTTACAACAACTTGGCCAAAACTTCTCATCTGCTGCTTCATCAGCCTGTGCAGCAGACTGCATGTTAGGGAAGTTTGTGTGCCTGGTGCTGCTCCCTTCAACGGGCTCAGACACGTCTGGTCCCAAGGAGGCAGGATCAGCCCAAGCTCTGCATGGGCTCTGGGAATCCCTGGTGCTGCCTTTCGTGGCACAGCTTTGGAAGAACAAGGTGTTCAAGCTTGCTTGGGGAGGACCCAGCCACCTCCAGGCTGGCTTTGCCCCCTTCTGCTTGAAAGACACAGTTTGGGCATTATGGGGCCAGCGACCCTGGAAGGCTGCATCCCACAGGGAGGATGCACGGATGCACCCCAGGTCCGTGCTCCTCAGCTCCTTTTGCTGTGTTTCAAACTGGATAACACAAGAAGTGACACTGCTGGTGGAGGCGACGCTGGGAAACATCCCTTGCTTCCCCCGTGCATGTCTCAGCGCTGGTTTTCCAGCCAGAGCCATGCTCTCCTCACGCTGCTGGCAGCCTCCCAGCCTCTTCTGTTTGCTTAGCACCCAGTGCAGTCCCGCTCTGGCCTCCGGACGTGACTGTAAAGCAAATAATAATGAACTCCAGAGCAAATACTAATGAGCTGTTTAATCCACCGACACACGCTCGGTGCCAAGAACGACGCCGTGGTCGGCTCCCCATGCTTTTGCCAAGGGCTGGAGCCCATCGATGGCTTTTCTGCACAGCGCTGCTGGTTTTGGTTTCCTTCCTCCCTCCTTGTTTTTAGCCATCTGCAGCTGAATGGCTCCCAGTGGCTGATTCACTTACTGGCCACTCAATAATTCAGCAGCTCCCTCGTGAGCCGTTACCACGAACGCAGCCGCTTCCTCGCTGTCTGTGCCCACGTGGCTGCCGTTCAGCAGGAGCAGCCAAGAGCCGGGATAAAAATAGGCTCTGGAGCAAGCGTGTGGGGTGTTTGCACAAGAAGGGTGCTGAAGTGCACGGGGAGGGTAACTGGGATGCTCTCTGTGGGGCTGCGCTGCTGCGGCCACCCGCTTGCGCTGTCCCCAGTCGCTGTCTCTGTTCCTGCCATGGTTTCTTGATGCCTTTTAGGGATGTAATTCTTGTGGGCTCCTAATTCCCTTTGTGGAGGGTGAAAGCGAAAGCACCTCGGGTGGAAGTTGGTGGTGGGAGCATGCGTGTGTGTATGTGTATGGATGTCTTCCAAAGCAAAGGCTGAAAGTCAAGGTAATGGATTTCCATTCAAACCAGCCAGGTTGCAGCAAAATACCAGAGCAAGGGCTGACAGGCATGACCCATGTAGTGAGGGCTTTCAAGGGTTTAACCCCTTCCATGCCAGTTTCTGACCCCACCAAAGCCACGTTGTTTGCAAGCTGTTCTGCCCCTTGGTGCTGTGGGGGCTTCTGTCCACGGCAGCCCCTCCAGGAGGATGCAAGGAGCACCGGGATGTGCTCCTGGATCACAGCTGGAATTCTGAACCCCCATTGCATGCCTGTGAGCGGCGGTGCCACGTGTCTGTGTGTGTGTCTGCAGCGTGGCAGCCAGCGAGTGACCGTCTGCTCTGTGCTCTGCCCCCAGGGACAGCGGGGACGACATCGAGCTGGCATCCTGCGTGCAGGGAGCCTGTCTGCCGGGCAGGGTGTCCTGCAGCTGCGAGTTCCTGGCTGATGGTAAGGGCCTGCGCAGGGCGGGCATCTCTGGGTGCCAGCTCTGGTTTGGAGGGGACCAAAAGTGAGCGAGCCTGAAGTTGGTGCTGTGGGGATGGATCGTCCTCTGTCCATCGCCTTCCTCACACTTGCCTTTGCCCTGGGGAGCTGGTCCACCCCTGTTGAAGGCATCAATGTTGCCCCTGTGCATCCTGGTATGTGCAGAAAATCAAGTCCCTGGGGTCTTGCAGGCACTGGGGTCTCTGGGTCCCAGCGAGTAGTCTCCCCTTGCACAGCCCCACCTCATCTCTGTACCAAAATCCACCATATCTGTGCCTGCCATACCGGTTGCACCAGAGGAATGACCCCCAGCACAGGCTGAAAGCGAGCTGGGAGCCCCTCAGGTTGTGACCAGAGCCATAACGTAGCCCTGAGATGTCCCCAAGAGCCAGAGGTGCTCCAGTGTGGTTGCCTTCAGAGCAGGTCAGCTCCAGCCTTATCCAGTGATGGTGGGTGATGCTGACCCATCCCTCTGCAAACTCCCTTCCAGATGTGCCCAGGCCTCCAGACAGATGTGCCCTGCCCGGGGCTCACACCACCACCACGGCCCCCGCTGTCCCTGCACCCCACGGCCGGGGCAGAGACTCCTTGGGGGAGCTCCTGGCACACGTCCCACTGGAGAGCTTCCTGCAGACACTGGAGTCCTCCCCCAGCGGGCACCTCACAGGTACCGGGATGCGGGATGCGAGCCCAGAGCCTCGCTCTTGGGACTGTGCAGGGGAAGGGGTGGGAGAGGTGACATCCGGGTGCTCCCTAACCCCCCGCTGTCCCTGCGGCCAGGGGAGGACAGCGAGGCGGAAGCGGAGATCAACCTCTCGGCCTTCCCCTGGTTCCATGGGACGCTGTCACGGATCAAGGCGGCTCAGCTGGTGCTGCTGGGGGGTGCCCGGAGCCACGGCTTGTTCGTCATCCGGCAGAGCGAAACGCGGCCCGGGGAGTACGTGCTCACCTTCAACTTCCAGGGGAAAGCCAAGGTGGGTGTCCTCAATGTCAGCGCCAGCCCTGCCCAGCACCCCGGGCTCCTTCCCACCCTCCTGGGGCTCTGCGAGCAAGTGGAAGCCATATGGTGACCCCAAACACTGCATCACAACAGGGCATCCTTTGGGACCACTTGCCCTTGTACCCCAAGAGCCCTCTGCACCCTGCCCAGCCCCTTCAGCACTTTCCAGCTGGATCACTGCCTGCTACACAGGCATAAGGTTAAATGCCCCATGGGAGCCTGGCGCATCAACCCCTGCCCTCTTCTTGTCTGCTCCATGTCCTAAAGTACATGGATATGCTATAGAAAGCAGCCCATGTGCAGTTTTCTGCTGGATCCCTTTTCCATCAGTGCACGCAGTTGAGGTATAACCTGTCCTGAAGTAGTAGCTCAGGTGGGATGTGGGCTTCCCTAGGCTGTCTCTGTCACTGTGATTGGAGCTGCGGCCCCTCAGCTGCACCCAGCCACCCTTCTCTGACTGCTTCTATATGGTGCTCATCACCAAGAGGGGACAAACTACTGGGGCTGCAGCAAGTGGGGTTTTGCAGGAAATACCCTGCAGCAGGAGAACACTATGGAAAAAAGCAAGTCCTGTGTAAGGAGCAAACCTCCCTTGGCTGATGGAGGTGGCTCATCTGCTGATTCAAGGGTGAGCATCACCTTGGCTCACCCCCTGTCCCCTGCGCTTGCAGCACCTCCGCTTGTCACTGAACGAGAGCGGGCAGTGCCACGTGCAGCACCTCTGGTTCCAGACCATCTTTGACATGCTGCGCCACTTCCACACGCACCCCATCCCTCTGGAGTCGGGTGGTGCGGCTGACATCACCCTCCGCAGCTACGTCGTGGCCCAGAGCCCGCTGCCTGGTAGGTGCTGGGGCTGTGCAGGGCCATGGGTGCACGTGGAGGGCTGGGCTGGGGTCTTACGTGGACCTAAAGGGGATCGATCCCTGGGATTTCTCCACTGATCCCTGCCCTAAAGCTGTGCCCGTGCTGGTGTGCGTGGCTTTGACGATGCACCAGGATAGATATTATCCCACTGAAGGTGAATGCGCAGTGCCTGTGTGTCCCTGGCTGTGGATATCAGTCCCCTGGCTTGGGCAGGAGGGGAGCAGTGGGGTCTGTGGAGCCTGGAGCATCCCGCTCTGCTGGGAGAGGGTGGCCAAGGGCAGGGGAAGGACAGGGTCAAGGATGGAGAGGGTGAGAATGGGAAGGTGCCAGTGAGGGAGTGGGAGGGCCAAGCCCCCAGGCAGCACTGGAGGGGTCAAGCTCCTGTCTCCCTTGCAGATGCTGGCCCCCCACCAGCCCTTGTGTCCCAGCCGCCAGGGTGCCGGCTCGACCTGCCACCTCCACACTACTTCTGCAGCACAGCACCCAGCGGCCCGCCGGCCCCACCGCCTGCCGAAGGGGTGGCTGTGGCCCCCGCTGCCACCGTCCCTGCACCCTACCACCGCCTGGAGGGTGCCCTGGGCCCCCGGAGCCGCAGTGACAGCGTGGAGCGCCGGCCGGAGCCCCCCGCCGCCAGTGCTGAGGACTACCATGATGCTGACAGTGCCCGGAGCCGGACCCGGGCGGTGGAAAACCAGTACTCCTTCTACTGAGCATCCCCATGCCCTGGGGCTGGATGGTGGGGGGGGGGAGCGGGGTACCTGCACCCCTCATTGCTGCACCAGCCTCGCCACCTCCTCCTGCCACCACCGGCGTGTCCTTCTTGCTCCCTGCCACTTCTGGGAGCCGTGTCAGCAGTGGGCAATGTCCCGGCTGGACCTGGTGCCAGCCCCAAGGTTGGGGCAGTGCTGGAGGTTTGGGAGGCTGAAAGTGTCAGTGCCATTTCAGAGCTTGCAGGCTCTTTTCTTTCCCTCTGGTCCAGGAGCTCTGCCAGGGCCAAGCATCCCTGGGGATGCCCATCATGGGAAGGCAGCCCAAAGCTGTGCCAGGCTCCATCCTCCAGCCAAAGGACCTCACACGTTCCCTCTGGTGTGAAAGCCCAGCATGGGCAACATCCCTTCTGGTACCATCACCCCGCAGCCCAGCTGCTGAGGGGCTCTGATGGTTTAGGATGACCATGGAAATGGCAGATCCCCATGCAGAGGCTTGTCTTGAGTTGTGAGGGTTTATCCAGGCTGGCTTTCAGGCTCCCTCTGGGGCACACATTTCCCATCCTCTGCCAGGAGAAGGTTTTTTCCAAAGCTTAATGAATTGCATTTGAGGAAGGTTTTTCTGCTGTCCTGCCTCTTCTGTTCCTTTGTCCTTTCTCTCCTTGCTCTACCTTTCTCCTCCTTTCTTCTCTTTCCCTTTCTTCCTCCCTTTCTTCTTTGCTTTTCAAAACCTAAGCTCTCTCCAAGGGCATCAGCTCAACCTTCTGCCTTCTCCCTACCACAGCTAGGCAGTGTTTTTCATTGCTTAAGGCAGACCTGCACAAACATGGCAACACCCCTCTTTGCATCAGTTGTTAGTCATTCGGGATGGCTTGGGGTGGTCAGACAGAGGTGAGGGGCAGCCTTGTACTGTAGGCTGGGCTCCTGGGAATGAAAACATTACACATGTGCAGTTAGATGCTATTGAAGGTTGGGGTTCTTCTTGGAGAAATAGAAATACCCAGGAAAAGCAAAAAGAATGGGGCCAGAGCCAGCCAGCCATCGGGACTGCCCTTGCCATGGCTGAAGTCCCTCCCTGGCAGGTGTAAAACGCTGCCAGTGATGGTTATAGCAGCCCTGGACCAGGCACTGCAGCAATCACTGCTGTTTGGTGGCTTTCTACTCCACCAGTACAGCCAAATGCATCTATAGCAGGAAAAGGAGGTCCCCTGATAGAGATGAGCCTTGGAAGAGAGCATAGAGCCAAAACCTGCTGTGGCATTGGGGTGGTTTTACAGGATGTCTCGTGTGGGGTGGGAGAGCCTCCGACAGGGCAGCTTCGCTTGCATGTCCTTCTTGGTTTGCCTCACACAGCTTGTCTTACCCATCACCAGGACTCCTGGCTCCTCACGTGGCTGCCAGGCCTGGGTGGCAATGCCAGCAGGACCTGAGTGAGGTGGCTTGGAAGTGTCTGGATAGGTCTCCAGGTAAAGGCTGTCAGTGCAAAGAGAGGTTTGAGCCAAAGCCCCTTGAATTTGCCTGTAGTGTTGGGTTGGGTCAGTATTGGTTTTCTAGGTGCCTTCTATCCTGAGTTAGCAAAGTACTGCAGTCACTTGTCTTTCCCACTTCAAGAGGGCAGGAAAGGCATCTCCAAGGCTTCCTGCCGCCTCCTGCAATGTGAGAGCTGCCTTTCTGGCCCATGGGTGTGTGAGATGAGGCCTGGTAGATCTCATTCCTGCAGCAAATGCCTCCTTCTCCCTAAATGCACGGCCCCTTAGAGGGCAGCGGGAGCAGTTTCCTCTGGCAGAGATATTTCATCTTCTTCAGCACAGCTAAACCCAGCTTGGAGGAGCCCATGCAGCATGGAGAGGCCAAATGCTCTTGGTCGATGGGCTTAACATGGACCTGCTTCCTTCACACACGTGGTGAATGAGGGGGGGGAGGGATACATCTGAATGCAGCTCTTGTTCTTCTGTGAGGTCCCAAGGGGCCAGGTAGTTGTGGGTGGGAGAACTGCCTTATAGCCCTTCAGATGGTGGCTGTTTTTTTTTCTGCATCACAGGATAGGAAAAGGAGAGGGAAGCAATGATCTGCAAGCAAAACTGTTCATTTGTAAATAGGGAAGAGTCTGGAAGAGTTTACTGTTGTGTAGAATAAATTAATTTTATTTAAAAAAGCCAAAAGGGACTTGTTAAACAAATGGAGACCTCAAGTTCCAGTTTTAAAATAAAATCACTTGCAAAAAGGACAGCACATGAGCTTGGGCCTTTGCTGCTTTGCTACAAGAAGAAGAGAGGGAAGGAGAGGATGCTGTCATGTCGCATGTGTGTACCTCATTGCTACCTCCAGGCAGTTGGGGCTGGGCTCAGGCTGTCTCTGCCTGATGGACTGCACTGAAGGTGGAGGAAGGGGTATTTTCCTCGCTGTTGAGCAAAGGGAGGGGAAGGATGGGCCCAGGCAGTGCAGGGCAGGGTTTCCTCTCCTCCCAGGCTCTGATTTTCCTTGTCTGCTTTGGTGCTGGTCCAAGTTGAAACACCTCCATCCCTGGAGCAGCACAGATAATGGTGAATTAGCAGCCCTGGGGCCTGAAGATGGCCTTCCCTTCCCAAAGGCCTGTGCTAGCATCTCTTAACAGCCCAGTTCCTTATAGCATGTGAATCTCCCCTCCAACGCCTTCATCTCAACTCTGCTGTTGTATGTCTTTCTGCTAAGGATCCCGTGGGGAAACAGGGACATTGTCCTAGACTGTACTGTCACAGCTAAGCAGCATGACAGACACGGCTTCCAGACGCAGCTAACACATGGCTTTGGGGGGGTGGAGGGAGCTGCTCAGCTCTGTAAGCAGGCCACGGTTGTGTCATGCTCCATTCATAAAAACATTCCCACCCTAAAGAGTTTCCAGAGCCTGTTTTCCAGTCCTGGAGGGCTCATCCAGTTGGAGATGGGAGGTGACAGCCCTCCTCTATGGACCTCCTCCTTTACTGCCCACAAGGCTGTGCCTGCAGTACAGCTGCTCCTCCTGCATCACCCTGAGCCATTCACACCTCCGTGTATTAGCAAAGTGACTAGTTCGAGCATAAGGTTCACTGGAAAATAAGCTTTCCTTTCCTTTTGCAGGGCTGTGGGAGGACAGGGGCAGGATGCAACAGCCCTCTGCATCAAACGCAGAGATCTAGTTGTGAATCAAGGGGAAAGCAGCCTGGGGTGTGTGCCAGCAATGCCCTCTGCCCAGAACAAAGCAGGGATGCTGGTGCTGAGCTGCACGCTGCAGACACCATAGAGGGAATTTTGTTCCCTCTATGAATTTTGTTGAAGATGAATTTTGTTGTTTGAGCTATGAGAACACCTCCCTGTTCTAATGAAAATCCTCTGTGCCCAGTCCTGCCCAGACCCCAGCCCAGCACTGTGATTGCATGGGTGTGGTATGTTTGAATAGTCTGATGAAATACCTCCTGGTTTTGTACAACCCAAGTAACAGACTTATCCCCTATCCCCAGAGAGATGTATTTTAAAAGTAATAAGTGCAAAACACATCAAGACTCTGCACCAATTCCTTAGACATGTCGTTTGAGAGTGAGAGGCTCCCAATTCTCTTTCCCCACACCGTGTGCGTGGGCTCTGTTGGATGACAGGCAGCTGCCTGTTGTTTCCCAGGGCTGTGAGCTGCCACTGGCACAAGCCATGGTTTGGGCAGGAGAATCAAGATGCCCAACTGCTCCCTGCAGCCCTGGGGCTGTCACAGTGTTTGTGGGCATGGCTGCCATTCTGCCTTCCTGCTGTAGGGATGGGCACGAGAGGGCTGAGACCTGGCTGCTCATCATTCACACCTCTGCTTTGGGAAGCTGTGTTTGGAGAGGTGGCCGTGACAGCAACGAGGAAGAAACAGGGTGACTTATTACAGGTTAGTGAGCTAAAGTGGCCCATGTTGTGCTCAGGACTCAGCAGAGCAGAGGGGAGAGGAAACTCAAATCGATTTGCAGCAACTGTGCTTCTAAAACCCGTTCTGCATGACTGAGAGGGGACAGGGACATGTACCTGCCCCAGCCTCTGCAAATGGACCTGGTGTCTCCCTGGTAGGAGCTGAGTACAGGCTGGCACTGTCTGATTTGTGTCCTGGTGAGCTGAAGAGGACCCAAGTCTGGAAGAGCTGTGGGCACAGGAGCTCGTGAGCTGGCAGCCAGCATAGGGAAAGCTGCTTGCATTGCTTCAGCCAGGGCTCCAACTGCAAGGATGCCTTCCAGGGCCAGCCCGGCCAGCTGGGAACTCAGCCAACACTAAATTCACACCATTCTTTTACAAATCAGGCTGGTAAGACAAACACGAGGCATAAACTGCTGTGATTTCCATAGCAACCTCAGCAGAGGTTGAAAAGTCTTTTGTAAACATAAGGCTGAACCTGAGGATCAGCTCTGATTTTCTTCAGGGAAAAGGGAAGAGCATGGGGGCTTAATAAATTCAGGTCATACAAACAACCCATAAATCTCGGAAGGAGCCATTCCCAACCTCTCTGCTCCCCTTTCCGTCACCCTCTCCGCATGCACGGCACGGAGCTGTCTGAAACCCAGAGCCCAGCTTCACCGCTCCAGCTTATCTCCATAAACTACACAAAGGCTTATGCCCCTCTTCCATTGCAGCTGACCTTTACTAGCTAATTCTCTGACGCACACACAGCCCCGGCACATGCCATGCCATTTCTGCAGGGCCACAGGAGCTCGAGAAGACATTTGGCTTGCAGAGGAAGCCTGTCTTGCAGCCAGCTCCTCTTCCCCACTCGTGCCTTCCTCCAGCCGGGTCAGACAAGCACGGATCTGGGTGTAGAAGCCTTCAGCTGGTCCAGGCACTGCTCCTGCAAAGCCCAGCTGTGAATATGAATGCAGACAGTGCAGTGTCCCCCCGCTGTTACCTGCCTGCCCTCCCCCAGCACCCGGAGAGGCTGCGCCATGGGGAATGGTGCTGCTGTTCATCACTGTCAGCAGACAAAGCACGGGCAGCGCTGGGTAATCACCAAGTGACACGCACAGATGGCGCGGGCAGCCTGCCCTGCCCGCCGGGGAGGCACTAGGAAGCCCTGTATCACAGAAACACAGAACAGAATCATAGAATCACGGAATAGTTAAGGTTGGAAGGAGCCTTAAAGCTCATCCAGTTCCCAACCCCTGCCATGGGCAAGGACAGCTCACACTAGCCCATGTTGCACAAGGCTCTGTCCAACCTGGCCTTGAACACTGCCAGGGACGGAGCATTTACCACTTCTCTGGGCACCCTGTCCGGCGCCTCGGCACCCTCACAGGGAAGAATCTCTGCCTTAGACCTAACCTGAACTTCCCCTGTTCCAGTCTGAACCCTTTACCCCTTGTGCTATCACTACAGTCCCTGACGAAGATCCCTCCCCAGCATCCCTTACACCATCACGGGGAAGAGACTTGTCAGTGCTGAGCCTGCCCCTGCCGGGGCCAGGTTAGTTGACTCCTCACCCTCCTGTGAGGGCTGTCCTAAGCACAGTGCGGCACCCATCGCCCCACAGCCTGGTTTGGGCCGCAGGGACCTGGAGCTCCTCCAGCTCCGACCCCAGGGACACCTCACAGTGGAGCAGGCCGGGGCCCGCCGCCATGCCAGGCCCGCCTCAGCCCCGCAGAACCGGGGCGCGTCGCACGCCGTGACGTCACTGGAGGGGCGCGGCGCGGCGCAGCAATGGCGGCCCCCTCGGCCCCGCGGCCGCCCCGGCCCCGCAAGGAGCCGCAGCCGCTCGTCATCCCGCGCAGCGCCGCCGAGGAGCAGCGCCTCCGCCTCGAGCGGCTCATGAGGAACCCGGTGAGGGCACTACCGGGACTCCGCACCCCGCCCGGGGCGGAGGGTCCGG